ACAAGCCATCAAGGCCTCGTCATGGCTTCCACTATCTTCATCAACGCCTCACACAACATGCGTTGCCCCATGTCCAGGACTTCGCATTGCGTCTCGTGCACTTTCACCTCCCTCTCCATGGTATTGCAATGCCGCTGCAACATGTTGCATTGTCTCTTGCTCGCTTGTCCACGGAATCCGCAATGACGGTCGAGTGTGTATTCATCACATCGGTAACCGCCTTAGACGCCTGCAGGCGTGCATTTTTCCTTTTCCAAAATTTGAAACCCCCCGATGATCCGCTTCCCGATCCGTCTCCACCTCCCGCCTCTCCATTCGGTCACAAAAGTTTTTCCCCCTCCATATATTCCCCCTCCTTGCAGTTCAGATGCGTTGGTATCCACTGGATTCGGTGGGTGAATGGTCTGGCTGCCATGTTGGCGTGCATCGATCGCCTCGTACAAGTGCCGGTCCATTTGGAACTTGTACCCCGCCTCGTTTCGCTGGTCGGCATGAGAGTGAAGAATGACTGCTTGTTGGACTCCTTTTCTCTGAACTGCACCTTCTTGTACCACGAGAAGATGTTCCCCCACCGCTTCATACATTCGTCCCAATCACGCTTCACCCCTAACATCCCCATGCGGTTAGTGATGTCCGTCCATTTCCACTCTTTGTTCTTCATGTGCGCGAAGTTGTGTCCCGCGACGGCCAAGGCTTCGTCATGATCCCGCTTATGGCGGATAAGTGTGAGAGAATCATCTAGATGCCATATAGTCTGCCCTCCGCTACCTGCCTTACCCTTACCTCGTCCCTTAGAAGTGGTTTTTTTCGCAAGTGTCTTCTTGCAGCCGCAGGAAACCGAAGGAACGTCATTTTCCATCTCCTCTTCCTCTTCTTCCTCCTCCTCTACTTCATCCATATCTTCACAGTATCCATCCTCAACCCCGCCTTCTCCACTGTCGTTGTCATCACTCGTCGCATGCATCGTGGTTACCTATGCGATGTTGTGTTCCACCACATTCGCTTCTCTGCTCTCCACTTGCCCCCCGTCGTTGCAGCGGTCCCTCGACTAGCGCCGATAACTCTTGCAAGTGACCCGGTCACTCCACCGTTATTTACATGATACCCCGGCTATTGCACCCTGACGGTGGTCTATCGCCTTGCAATGCACCCGACAGATGACTCCCCTTGAGATTAGCTGGAAGTACTCACCAACAAAGTTGTGTATGCGGTCGCTTGGCCCATACATGATAGCTGCAGGTCGAGAGGCGGTCCCATGCCCTCCTACTGTCCATGCATCAGGAGAGGTGTTATGGGTCTCCACCGCTGACGAAGCTCTGCCCGTTCCATTTCGCACTCGGAGATGGTCTGTGCCGATTCGTTCGCTAGGCGGATGACAAACGATGGTGGTTCCTATGACTCGTCGTTAGACAGTGGTTGTTGCCACGACGACAGGTGCGCACACAATACCGGGTCGAAACGAGGTATGCCCGACGCTTGTTGTTCCCCCCCAACCCCCACCCCCCCCATGCCATAGAAGACCTACTCGTGCCCGTTACTGCCTGCCATGCCCCTCTTTTGGCCGGTCTGACCACTTTTATCGTTTTTCGCCTCCATGGCAGATGACAGATCCACAACAATGAGCAAAATTTCATGAGGACGACAACGAGTAGGTCGAGCAAGATGAGATAGAGTAATGTCAACTTCCTCACGTGGTCAGCCATGCAAGTGCTTGCAGAGCGAAGTGAAACAGAACAGCGATGTTGGGAGAATCTTTGATCCTTCTCTTTTGGACACGAGACCAAAACTTCGAAATAAAACTGAAATTTTTCGCATTAAGTTGAGAGTTTTGTCACAATGAGAAATTGATTTTCATGTAAAGAAATAACACATTGCGCAAGACTTTTAATCTTGCGCAATGTGTTATTTCTTTACATGAAAATCAATTTCTCATTGTGACAAAACTCTCAACTTAATGCGAAAAATTTCAGTTTTATTTCGAAGNTTTTTTTTTTTTTTTTTTTTTTTTTTGCTGTCCTTTCGGTTTAGGCATCGAGAGGAGTAGATATGTCAATGGATAAATGGGACATATACCCTCATTTTATGTTACTGATCTTCTGTTTTTGGTTATATCAACAACAAATGACACCAAGTGACACTGAGGAACTCAGCAACCAGACGTGGAAGGGTTGAGTGGAAGGGTTGAGTTTCCGTAACTCTGTGTTATGGAATGGTGGAGGGGAGGATGTTGTACGCCACGATATTAATGCTCAAGGCATCTTCTTCTACTTCTTGGTTCCATTGTGTTTAATCATTCTCGTGGAGACAGGCTGACACCGCCAATGATCCGAGCAGAGGTCAAATATGGCATTAAACAAATGATACAGGCTGACTGGGAGCACAAAGTACAGCAGAAAGGGTTTACAAAAAAGGCAATGCAGTTCTTCACTACACGATGGAGTGCTTTTGCAGGACTCGCATCACTAGAGTGTCTCCCGGGTAGACTGCCTTCTCTGCTTTTCTCGGCGTTCTTTCTGTGATCAAACACACAGGTTTGTAGACTTGTACAATTCTAGACTTGTAGGAGTGTCCAAAACTTTTGATGGTAGGATAAGATAACTTAGACTAATACAGGATATTAGGATACGGTGGATTGCTGTACACAGCTGCCGTTGATATTAGAATATTTTATATTATTGGTGGAAGAGATTAAGAGAAAAAGGTTTCTGTCCCTGACACTGTCGTGGCATGAGCTTTGCCTGCCCGGAGAGCCTCGCTCAGCTCAGGGCTGCGGCGACTTTTTGCAAGGGATGCCGGGCCCCTGTTTCCCGGCTTTGATATAAATAAAGACTGATCTTCTCAAAAAAAAAAAAAAAAGAAAAAAGAAAAGAAAAGAAAAAGAAAGCCGTCTACGATTTCTCCACACTATAAGTCTATAACCCAAAAAACCACCACACGATCCCCAGGGCCCAGGAGCATCTCACGCACCGTGCTGTCACAGGTGATTGGAAACTCGTCTTTGAGCTAGGTCGACGGTGCAAGTCGGACTTGGCCCCTAGGACCACTCGCCCGGCCAGGTCAAATAGGAATTAAAAAAAACATAATTGTTATCATATTTACTAATTTTTAAAGTTTTCTTTCGTTTTTTTTTTTTTTTTTTTTTTTTTTTTTTTTTTGTGTGTGTGTGTGTGTGTGTGTGAAAGGGAAGGCAAGCCTGGCCCTTGGCCGGCTCCGTTGCCCAGGCCACCAAAGTGACCCCCCAGTGGCCCCGTTGGCAACATTGACAGTAGGCACATACTTCTGCCAAATGAGACAAAAGCATGTGCTCAGTGAAAGCTCGGCTACTGCAGCAGTACCATCTTTCCCGAACAGAATGTACACTCATTAAGGACGTATTTGGACCAAATTTCAGTCTCAATACAGCGACAACGGTCGTGCGCTCCATTCGGGGGGAGACAGATAGGAGAGGATGATCTGGAGCCACATCACATACTCCGACAAATGGTGTAGAGCAACAGTCCTCCCGAGAGACGTTCCAACATTGGACCCACCCCTCGCCACCTCAAAGCTGTCTGACAATGAGAGTGACAAGGTGTAGCACAGGACAGGAGGACAGGGCCGTGAACGTAGGGGAGCGTAAGCACAGCTTGGAAAAGACACGTCGGCATTGAAATGAGGTATAACAGGGCCAGGAAAAGACACATCGGCATTGAAATGAGGTAGAACACGGCCAGGACCCGCTGACGCTATGTTCGAGGGAGGAAATCAATTTGGCCAGGTTCATGCTTTCCAAGTATGAATATGGTACCAGTGGGCCATGTCCCGGAAGGACGGACCCAACCATCAAGTTAGCCAGGTTCATGCTTTCCAAGTATGAACATGGCACCAGTGGGCCATGTCCCTAAAGCTCTGTGAAGGTGGACAATCAAGTAGGTACCCAAAACAGCAATCAAGTCAATGAACATTGGGGAATAGGCGAACAATTGGGTAGGAGCAAGGAAGAAAGGGGAGGGAGGAGAAGGAAAACTGATATGAAACAACATCAGACACTTCATGAATGTTCATGTGTCCAGCCTCTGGCAGAGAAGACACGTAACGCGGTGTTTTCACACAGGAGTCGATTGCTTTTGATCTCTCTCTCTCTCTCTCTCTCTCTCTCTCTCTCTCTCTCTCTCTCTCTCTCTCTCTCTCTCTCTCTCTCTCTAAACTAACTACAACCTTGCTGCCTCCCACTGGGAGTTAATCTGAGGGTTCCTGTTCTTGGCTCTCCTTCCCCTCCACCCCCCCCCCCCACAACCCAAAATGCCCAAGCTGTTGTAGAGGCAAGGTATCAGGTGCGGGAATACTCTGCAGGGTTCAGTCACTCGAAGTTCGGAATGACCCACTTGGCCCTCTGGACCTTCCTAGGCGGAGTCCTCTGTGGGCCTACATCCCCGTGGGCCGTGAAGGCCTACTTGCACGCTATAGAAAGGGAGGGGGTGTGGGGTGTGGAATGCGTACACTCCTGTTTACTTCTCAGCACACCTGTACCTTACATTTTGTCTAGTCTCTTAATGCTGCGCATTCATATGCACCTAGTGGCGCCACACAAGAGGGCGGGGGGGAAGGAAAAGAGGGAGGGGAGGGAGGGAGGAAGGAGAAGGGCGAGGGGAGAGAGGAAGGAGAAGAGGGAGGGGAGGGAGGAAGGAGAAGGGGGAGGGGAAGGAGAAGGTCTACACAAGGGGAGGGCGGAAGGAGAAGGGGAAGAGAAGGGAAGTGGAGGGAGGGACAAGGCTGCCCACGTTGATTGTGGTTGAGCGGCAGCTGCCCACGTCGATTGTGGTTTAGCGGCAGCTGCCCACATCCCCGTGTGCCTTAATGGCCCACTTG